ACATGATTCTAATCACAGAGTAGAGTTTTTGTATTACTTTATATTATTTACCAAAGACCTAGCCCAGGCAGAGTCTAAGTAGTAATAGAAACACATTATTTGTGGAACTCACCAACCTTATATTTTAATCATTCAGTTTTGGTAATCATAAAAGAGCTACAATTTGTTGATTTATTGGATTTTCACTCTTTACAAGGCACAATGTTATTTTTAATTTTATTAAATTCCATAATAGTGGAATTACAAAAGACATTTTTCAGAGAAAGAAAAATGAGGCTTAAAAAGATCCAATATATGAATTGGGTTGGTGAGTGCAAATACATAAGAACCAAAGTTGGGAATCAAATTTGTGTCTGTCTGACTATAAAGCTGTTTTCCTTTCCTCCACACTATGATACCTATAATTTCAAAATACTTATTTTAAAGTTTAAATTTTATATTAAAATCTCACAGTTATTTACTCTTTTGTGTTAATACAAGCTTGGTATTCATGACTACGGCATGACAAACTATCCAACCATTAATGGCAGATCCGGTAGGAATTTAGCTTCTCTCAGTAAATAATATAACCTTACATATGACTATTACTTATATATGTTCTGAGTGTTCTGAAGTATTCTATAGTGAAATAGCCTTGGATTCTATTAAGATGAGGTATATAAAGTAATAAAATCCATAGAAACAGAAAGTAGAAATGTAATTGTTAGCAGCTGGGGAAGGAAGAGAGGAAGAGTTGCTCTTCAGTGGGCATAAAGATTCAGTTATGCAAGACAAAAAAGTTGTGGAGATCAGTTCTACAACATTGTGGTTATAATTAACATTATACTGCACACTTGAAAATGTAAAAGGACAGATATATTACATGTGAGGTTATTTTACTACAATAAAAATACTGAGTTTGTTTCCTTACTCTGTGATTTTTTTTGGTGCTAATGTCCATCACAAATCCAAGAGAGAGAATATGCCACCCCTGGTGAAGCAATCCTTTTCCATAAGATATCTCAAAGTTAGGTGAAACTAACTTTGGGGAATGTTGATCCGACCCTTGCTTTTCAGAACATTGCCCCAACAGTTGGCAGAGCTATCATCTGCTGGGAGCATATTAGAAATGCATAATCTTAGTGCTCAATCTGATCTATTGAAACAAATTCTGCATTTTAGCAATATCCTCAAAGGCACATACAATTTTGAAAAACAGTAAACTAGGCCACATCACAAAAGTTGCAGCTAAATCTGGGCCTCTTATTTTATTTGCATTGATACTACATGCTTTTCTGAAACCATTAGCTCATCAATAAACACTTGATACCACTTAAGGCTCCACTCAGGGAGCATTTGATTTAGAAGCATCATAATTCACTGGAGAATAATTGTCACTGGGTTTCTCTTAGAAATATTTTACAAGACTTGTAAATAATTAAAAGTAAGCCTGTACTTATACTTACATATCTACGTTTTATTTCACGCTGTCATTCTATTTGGGTTATATTCCATTTAGCATACTAACACTTGCAGCTGTTTGAAATTACTTTTATTTTGACCCCAAGGGAAAGTTGAGATAACTCATATATCATGGTTCGATTATTAATGGTTAATGGTCAACCAGAAAATGGAATCTTGTGCTTAGAACAGGGATAGATAATGCTTATTAAGGGAGTAAGGAGGGAAGGACAAAGTATGGACAATTAGAAGGGTACTCATATTTTAATTCCATTATAGTCCTTAGTTGTCGGTTAACACCTTAGGGAAAAATCATTTATAACATTTTATAATTTTAATTTGGGGAAAGATGATAAAGTAAAAAGTCTATATACCTTACCTGAAACAGGAGCATGAAAACACCAAATGTCTCTATAAGTAGAAGCTCAAAACATTCTATAATATCCCTTTTATTTCAGATTGTTTACACTGATAAACTTTTTCATCAGATGCTCATTTCTCAAATTAGAAATGAATTTGAATTGTTCTGACATTAGTGAAGGTAGATGATTACTTATGGAGTCAGAAATTATGGACTTTTCAGAGGAGGTGGGGAATCCAAGAATTAAGAAATCTGACAGCTTTCTTTTACTAATAATGAAATTAACCCAAAAAATACAACATTTAATTTACTAATAATCAATCTTTGAACCAGGAAATTTTGTTTCTATAGTTTTTTTTTTTTTGAGCAAGATTTAGCTTTTATCAGGAAGAACACTTGTAAATAGCTAATAATTATTTTATACATATTTCTTAAACCTCGTTCTATGCCCTAACCAAGAAAATCAGGTACTGAATTAATGAGCTGGCTTTTATTTCTACTTCAGCTTATATTTATTTCCATTGTGGTTTATCACTGGTTCATAGAGTTTGTTTCCTTATATGAAATGCACAATGTAAAATTCAAGCACACTCATACTTCAAAACATTTTCGTTACGTCTCAGGACTAAAGGTAAATCAGTCACTACATGCTTATAGGCCTCTCAAATGTAAGTTGTCCAAACTGAACTACTGATTACCAACCACAGTCCTGATCCTCCTAGCCTTTTCCCCATAAATGGCAATTCCTTTCTTTGAAGAATTGATGACAAATAATAATTATTGTTGACTCCACTCTTTTTCTCACACTCCATATCTAAATCACAGGAAGCCTTTCTGTGATTGTCTTCAAAATGTTTAAAGAATTCAACTACTACTCTCCATCTTGTTAGATCAGAACCCTGATCTAATCCATAATGAGGTATGAGTAATGTCAGTAACCTCCCCAGGGTTTCCCTACTTAAACATTGGCTCTTACTATCTATACTTAACAGGGCAGCCAGATTGATCTTGTTAACACAGATACCAGATTCCATCACATCTTGGTTCTAAAGGCTGCGAAGCTCAGATTAAGAGATGGTCTTTGCAGGGACCAAAGAATGTGCACCCTCTATCCTCCTACTACATCTCCAAGCTAAGTTCTTTCCAGACTCCTCTCCATTTCACTGAAGCAACAATGGCCTTGATATTTCTTGAACATCACATATAAGTTCCATTTGAGACTTGCTGGTCCTTATTCCTATAACATTCTGCCCCCAGATATCTGTAAGGCCCACACCTTCACTTTATTCAAGCCTTATTAGAGAGGTTTTTCACTAAATAAAATAGAAATCACCAACCCTCAACAAAAGTAATCCCTAATTTCCTCACTTAGCTTTATTTTCTCATTTAATATATTATAAATATATTTATTCACTTAGTTTCTGTCTCCCCACCCAAAGTAAACTTCATAAAGGTAGGAACTCAGTCTGTTTAATCTCTGCTGTATCCTGATTAATAGTGATAGGTATGTATTAGGTAATCAGTTAATATCTTTGAATGAATAAATGTTTGCCAAGTGTATACTGAATGATGAAATATGAGATTGGTAATGTACACTCTTTAAGAGCTTGGGTTTGGAAGTTATGTAAAAGTTTTAAAATGTGGCATTATCCTATGCTAGTTTTATGATACTGGATAAGGTATTTAACCTCTTTAAAGTTAATTCTTCCCATCTGTAAAATAAGAACAAATACTAGTGTCTAAACAATAGCATTATTGTGCAGATTAAAGGAGATAATAAAGAGAATTAAGCTTAGTAAATTCTTAAAGTAATGTTAATGATTAGTAGCAGAAATAACTGTTACATACAAGATCTTGTGAAAAGATTCTCAAGCAATTTCTTTCATATGAATTTTATTTTTTTTCTAAACACCCATGGTTTCATAGAATAAGGTTTTAAAAATAAAATATAAACTATATATCACTCTAACTAGTTTTAAATGTTTACATAAGTGTATTTAGTCATTCACCCATTTAATATCATTTATGTCTTTTTTTTAAATTACCTAATGTCTGGCCCTGTGATGGAGTCTATGGGGGGCTATAAACATATATCAGTTTCAAGAAGCTCATTTTGTAGTAAGGAAGATAAAATGTGTAGAGGGATAACTATGATATCATGCATAGCAAGACAAAGTGCAGAGAAATGCAACTAGAGTGTATAGGATTGTCTCTGGCTGAGAATTTACTCATTCAACAGACATATGAATTGCTACACATGCTGAGCCCTGATCTAGGAACACACAGGTGAGCAAGACAAGAAAAACCTCTGCTCTTTGAGGCTTAAATTCAAATGTAGAACGAGGAATAGCTCTTTTACTGAGCTATTCAACATTATTTAGTGGTTCCTGTATGCAAGGCGGGCACTGAGAATAGAAAGAAAAATGAAGATAAATGACACTGATCTCATGGAGAAAGCCACATCTGAATTAATCTTGAAGGTCTAGTAGAGCCAAGGAAAGTGGAGAGGACATTCTAGGGCTGAATGAAGTATTTCAAAGGGGTAGAACAAGAACTCGATAGAGTTTTTCTGGAAAGGAAACAGTGAAATATGAGGTTATAGCCAAAATTATATGGGGTTAAGCATCAAAGTACATATATTTTGCTTCATTTGTTTGCTTGTTTGGTGATGAAGCATCAGAGGAAAGCAGTGATTTAGTAAAATCTACCTTGGGACAATATGTATGGAATGGGCTAATGTAAGAAAAGACAAAAGTGGGAAGGCTAGTTTGAAGATTGTCAGAAATATCCCTGGATAATATATAATAAGAGGCTGTAAAATGGAAGTGACTTTATAAGATAGAATGAAATACTCTAGGGGGGCGGAGCAAGATGGCGGAGGAGTAGGAGACCTGGATTTCGTCTCCTCTCAGGAATTCAGCTGGATAGGGATCAAACCATTCTGAACACCTAC